TCATTTCCCAATTTTTGCAATCGAGACATTATTTTCTAAAGCGCCAAATATCCACCATTGATTGCTTGGCGCGCGGGAATTGGGGCAAGCGTCCCGCTCACCGCTGCGAGCCTCTAAGTTCGAACAGCGCGGCGCGCCTGCTATTCTCGCTCTTCTTCCCGCGCTCAGTGGGCCGTACCTTCGGCAGTAGTAGTAGATCGGACGTGTTCGGCTATTTTTAATATCTCGTTAATTATTGCGAGCGTTGCAAAATGATAGAGGACTTTTCGACCCAGTTTAGTCCGCTCTATCTGCTCAGGACGGGTGGGGCCATATATTGATACCACCCTATAGTAAGTCTAAAATTACTACATAAGACGTCTTTTAGACGCAAAAATCGCCTTATGACCTATTTTAGACACTTTTTGTTGTCTAGGTTATTACAAATTGGTAATTTTTTTTCAAATAAAATAAAGATTCTTGTATGTAACAAAAAATTTATAAAAATATAGTATTTTACTATTTTTATTTAAAAATTAGTAATTATTTAATTTAATCAAACTAATACGTTATTATCATTTAGCATTATAATTATTTATTATAATATATCTACTACAATATATATACATATTATTAAGAACATTTAATGTATTTCAAATAAATTTCAGAATAAAAATTGAGCTCTCGAAATTAACAAATAAATATCAAATAAAAAACAGGCGATTGAGAGCAGACAATAAGTCGTAGTTATTCAGGCGTTATACGTTACAATTTAATAGTTCTTACAACTTAAATGATGAGATCGAATGTTTCGGCTCAGTTCGAGCCATCCTCAGCGATGTCAAAAAACATTACAAGTTATTAAAGAAAAGATCCAAGAATGCCTCTTCAATTTCAAACTTAAGAAGCCACATTGTCAAATTAGTTGAATAGCTAACCAAGCACTAAAGAAAAGTCAAATTAATAATACAACAATGCTAAAAACAAGTATAGAATGATCAAAGAATTCACCCGCTGCATTCCGTGATCAAAGAGTTAAGAACCGCATGAATAGAGATACATTGTTAAGAGAATCGAATCATATGACAATCAATGTTTAAATGACAGTAACGCCATAAACTATATCAAGTTGAGCATTGTAACATAAACAAAAATATTGTATCTTTAGAGTCACACACACACACACAAGAACCATAAATTATACAAAGACAGTCAACTAATGTAACATAATTCCTGTCATACATTAAATCTTGTTTACAATGTTCAAATAAGCATAATGTAGAAATTTCGTGTCAGATTTTTAATTTAGATTATTTTCTTACGACTTAATGTGGAGCATTTCAGACACAAGTCTTTTTCCAAAATATCTCTATCCAAGATGTTTACATTATCTCAATTGAAATCATGTCCGTACTCCAACCTATGTTCCGTGATTACTGATGGGTTACCGGTTTTTTCAGTACTTGTTATGTAAACATGAAGTTCGGAAACGTATCATTTTAAAATGCTATATATACGAGGGTCGTTCGAAAAGTCCGTGCAAAGTCACTGCTGATGGCACTACTGGCGCGTATCAAGGTTAGATTTAGTTAATAGCATCTTTTGGAGGAACCCACACCAAGTTACAGCCAGATCGGTCTATTTGTTTGTGTTTGGCATTCATTTGAATCGAGGAAGTCGAGGGGGGTTTGTTTCTGCAATCACGTCCTCGTTTCCATAAAATCTTTTTCCCGCCAGCCATTTCTTCATATTGGGGAACAAATAGTAGTCCGAGGGAGCCAAGTCTGGAGAATAGGGGGGATGTGAGACGAGTTGGAACCCTAATTCCATTAATTTTGCGACCACAACTGCTGAGGTGTGAGCTGGTGCGTTATTGAAAATCACTCGACTTCCTCGATTCAAATGAATGCCAAACACAAACAAATAGACCGATCTGGCTGTAACTTGGTGTGTGTTCCTCCAAGAGATGCTACTAACTAAATCTAACCTTGATACGCGCCAGTAGTGCCATCAGCAGTGACTTTGCACGGACTTTTCGAACGACCCTCGTATGTTCGTCACAGTATGCTAATTATTTTGTCATCAAAATGGTGGTTACTTCAGCTGAGCTGAATCTCGCGATATTATGATACAGCTACTGCAGATCGTACTTTATTTTATGCTCGTGGTTTCATCAATTAATTGCAATCAATTATTCAGTTGAATAATATAAAATAAAATGTAAATATGTATAACTCGTTTAAAAGAAAATCATATCATCATATTCAAGAAAACAGCGTCGTCGAATAATTGAACGACAAACGAAAAGTGATTATTTATTGGCAATGTGCATTGCAGATATAGATGATAATAATGATTTAAATTTTATTAATTACTTAAATATCAATGAGACAGTTTATAATACTGAAGAAATAAATGAACCCGAAACAAATGTATCAGAAGTAATAATATCTGCAGAAAATGTTACTATAAATTCTGTCGATATCCAAGAAGCAATTGGACCCTGGAGCTTTTGAAGATATCAATGATGATGTTTATTACTCGGATGTCACGATTCTTATGGAGAAATTGATGAAGAAAAATATGAAGATGAAAATAGGGATGTTGATGATGATGATGATACTCGTTCCACAACCTGCAATATAGCCATTGATAACACTCCATTCAAGATAAATCAAGTAAATGATAATAGCAAAACTAATAAATTAAAACATTAGGCAATTAAATATAAAATCCCTTTAAATGCTTTAACTGCTCTTTTGAATATTCTTATAAAATATATAATTCGATTGTCATTTTTACCGAAAGATTTGAGAACGCTCTTGCAAACACTTCGAAAAACAAATATAGTTAATGTAGCAGGAGTAACATATTGGCATTACGGTCTTAATAATATAATCGAACATATAAAGAATGAATACATAAAATTAAATCTTCCTAGTGTAAATATAAAGTTAATTTTAAATGCAGACAACCTACCTTTATTTAAATCTTCGAAAGCTATATTTTAACCTATTTTAATTTTTATCTAGAAAATATTTTGAAACGCGTATATGTGGTAGGTTGTTACTTTGGCAAAGAACATTCAAATAATGCAAATGATTTTTTACAAATATTTGTTAATGAAATTACAACCTTGAACAGCTGAAAACAAAGATTTCAATTAATGCTATCGTACGTGACACACCTCCCAAATCTTTCATTTTATATACAAAAGGCTACTAAATATTCCCAACTATTTAAAGTGCACAATTTATGGTAAATATATTCACATTAGTGTCTGTTTTACATATAAACAAATTGCCAGTTTGCTTCGGACTGGTATTGTTCCATCTGGAATTGTTGTAAGAATCGTTTCACTTTTATGGTAGTTAAGATTATTGTGATCAAGAATTTCTTGATCACAATAATCTTAACTACCATAAAAGTGAAACGATTCTTACAACAATTCCAGATTTAGGATTAGTGTCGAATGTGCCACTAGATTACATGCCCTTAATTTAGGTGTAATGAAAAAGTTATTGTTTTTATGGAACCTTTGAAGGTACGTTTGTCCGCCATACAAATACAAAGAATTTCTGAACAATTAATCAATTTGCAAAAAAGTACTCCGAAAGATTTTATAAGGAAGCCTAGTCTCAATAAAGTAAAATTTTGGAAGGCTACAGAATTTCGGTAATTATTATTCACCGGATCTGTTGTTTTAAAAGGCGTGCTACGTGACGACATTTATGTAAACTTTTTAACGTTGCATGTAGCATATTCCATACTAATAAGTCCAAAGTTTGTTCAAAATGAAAACAAAATTGCCGAATAACTTTTAAATCATTTTGTTAAGTCTTTTGAATAAATATATGGCCCAGAATATGTAACTCTTATGTAATATTCATAATCTGTTGCATCCCATACAGCACAGAAGATTGAAGCAATATTGCTGCAATGTTGCAATATTGTAGATTACAATGTAACATTGAAAAGGTGTAAATTAACAATATGTTTGCAATATTGTTGTAATGTCAGTAATATGCCTGTAATATTTCAGAAATGTTGCAAAACTAATTCTGTAATTGTTACAATAATAATAATATAAAAATATAATTTTTTCTAATATTTATGTAGTACAGTCTTTTAGTTTAACAGCCGTTTTTATAATATAATAATTAATATAATCCATTTTTATATTTAAATAAAAATTTATTAATCTATTATTTGACGGTCATTTCATTAGCTAAATTTTATATTTATTTTAAATATGAAATCAAAAGATTTTGTATAACATCGAATTTGAATATCAATGCATTATTATCAGATAAGACGATAAGCAATTAAGCTGCTAAAAACGATTTATCGAAATATTAATTATGTGATCGATAATATATTTATATGCCTGATGTGAACGCAAGAATAAACCACACACACACACACACACACACACACACACACACACACACACACACACACGTACGCACGCATGCACGCACGCACGCACACACAGCGCCCAAACTTTATTGATAAATTTCATACCGTCATTTTTTAATCGATTTCAATTAACTCGGAGTAGCTTCGAATTAAAAAGAATGCGATTAACTTAATCCATGATTAACTTACCAAACGACTGTATTATTATGTTAATGTGGATAATATTTGTAATTTGTTCGAGGAACATACATACATGTTTTATCCTTACGAATAAATTTATCCTTCAAAATTAATACTACATTTATTGGAATATTTTATGGTTTTATCATAAAAAAATTGCTTTATAGAAAGCACATATTACTAGAAACGCGATTTGTAAAAAAATTAAAGTTAATGAGATATACGAGGTGTGATTAAAAAGTAAGGTGAATTTTTAATTTAAACTTCCCGCGCTAATCGATTCGAGCAAACTTTTTTATTTTTATGTTGGTACTACTGTTAGTGACATCTGTGGCAAATTTCATGTCAATGTCATCATTAGTCATATAGTTACGCTTGTGTTTTCTAAACGACTAAAAGTGATTTTGGTGATTTTTCTGACAATGTCTGATTTTGCTGAGCAAAGAAGTGCCATTAAATTTTGTTTGCGGAATGAAATTTCGGCTGCGGAAACGTTCAGAATGTTGCAGAGGGCCTTCGGAGAATCGACTATGTCGCAGAAAAATGTTTATAAGTGGTACAAAGACTTCAAAGAAGGCAGAGAACGTACTGATGACTTGGAACGCCCCGGACGACTATCAACGTCAATTGATGAGCAACACGTGAAGAAAATCAAGGAATTGGTGCTCGAAAATCGTCGATTGACAATTAGAGACCTTGTCGATATGGTTGGCATTTCATTTGGTTCAGTTCAAACAATTTTGAAGGATCACTTGGGCCTCACGATAATGCGCCGTCTCACACGGCATTGATTCTTCGTGAGTTTTTCGCCAAAAATTCCACTCATATCGTTCCGCAACCGCCTTATTCACCTGACTTAGCTCCGTGTGACTTTTGGCTATTTCCCAAACTCAAAAGACCGCTCCGGGGACACCGCTTTGAATCTATTGAAGAGATTCAACGTGAATCGCTGCGCGCTTTGAAGGCTATACCGGGAAACGACTTTTTGGCATGCTTCGAGGCATGGAAAAAACGTTGGCATAAGTGTATTGTATCGGAGGGGGATTACTTTGAAGGGGATCAAATTGATTTGGATGAATAAATAAAGATTTTTTATTTTATAACAAAATTCACCTTACTTTTTGATCACACCTCGTATGTATATAAAATAGTTTTCATTTTAGAGTCTTTGTAAGAAATTTATCGAAAATACATTACATTGCAATATTCCTGAAACGGTTCGTTACAATATAACAAAAAGCGGACATTATTAGAATCTTGTAGCAATAATTCAGCAACGTTTCGCCATCATGTAGTAAAATTATTCTGCAATGTTTTTGCAATCTTTCTATGCTGTATGGGATGTCAGTACTAACGTTCGAAATTTTGGCGTTCTAGATAAATTTAGTTCATTCTGCTTTGAAAATTATTTACAAATGCTAAAAAAATATTCTTCGCAAATTTAATAAACTATTGCAACAGGTTGCACGACGATTCGAAGAAATGCAAGCTAGCTGCTATAACTTTAACACAAAGTCAAATTTTGTAACAAATAACAGTTGTCTAAAAGTTGTCTAAAAGTTGTGCTTATGCACGTATCTAGTTCTTTGCTCGATAATATATTACTAGGAACCGTAATTCAATACATAATATTTATAAATAATTCATATTACATTAATTGTAAACAAGAATATAATAAATACTTCATGTTAAAGAATAAATCTATCATTTATATTTTAAACATTATTCAATCACAAAATAAAGACATTTTTGTTATTGGGAAAAGATTCTTTGCCCAATTGCAATTTTGCAATTGGGCAAAATTGTAAAAACTGATTTATATTCCATTTATATGATTTATATTCTTTACCATGTCCTTCCAGCAAAATAAATGTTTTGCTTATTTCACAAACAGAAACGATTAAAACGATTAATGCATGGCCTATAGCAGAAATTGAAACAAAAATGTACAATAGTATTTAAATATAATAGTCTTGATGCAAAAGGAGTAATAATTTCATTTCGACATAATGATGTTCAAAATAAATTTTATATAAATATAAAATGTATTGTAAAATGTTTTGTAGATCCGGAGTTATCGAACAATTGTCGCTATCGTTAACTAGTGACAATCGTCGATATAATCATCGATTAAAGTTACTAGATTTATAAAGTACCGCAAACTCGCATCCATTTTCACGCAAAACGCAGGCATTTCAAATTTACGCATTTGTATATACATACTTTATTTGTAAAAATGGAGCCATCGAATATGTAAATCAATGTTGTTGAATTATAATTAGTTTATTTATAACCAAAAGAATATATACGAATGCTTAATTTATATGTTCTTTAGTTTAATACGTATTTATTTATTACAGAAGTTTTGTGCATACAAGTACACGAAGATACGTGTAAGTACAGTTCAGAACTGTTTAGGAATATGAAAGTATATACGTCACACGTGTGATCACTACATGCACCCAATTAACCCAATGTGTACGTTGGTGTACTTCAAATCGTGTACTATGTGTACTTCGACCATTTAGACGCAACATTTCTGACATTAATTGCGGTACTTTATAGATATCTAGTGACTTTATCGTAAGACGTTTAGAGCAGAGAGAAACCTGAGAGAGGACATATCGACCCAAAACCTATAACCGCAAAATACTGCCGCACATTACTGCCCCCTGATAAAGTGGATGTAAATTACATAGCTCTGACGGTAATAAATTCATTTTTCAACTTCAGATGATAAATCGATACTTGATTTATATATTCATGCTACATTCACAAATTGTGCATCAGAAATATTCATCTCTGCAATCTTACATGCGCGTGATGTTTATTTCGCTTAAAAGTATTAACATTAATAGCGATTTCGACTGGGATGCACTAGTGCACATAAAGTTGGCATACACAATTGCCGTAAAAATGTATTAAAAACAGATTAAATCGTACAATCCTCAATATATTTTATTGTACTGTTAATAAAACATGTATTTGATAATTTTCATTTCGTTTTTGAACTCTTAGTGATTTCGGCTGGAACGCACCGACTGCACATTTCAGGTGTCGGTGCAACTGGTGTGTTCGGCTGGTTGAATGGTGCAATTTTTCTTGACAATGTCGCATGTTCGTCTGGACTCGGTACATCGCACAAGTGGCCCCGACAAATTTGTTGCGATCAGTTGGTGTAATTGTCGGGCTTGATGCTTTCATGAGACGCTGAAAAGCAGCGTATATGTGATTACGTGGTATTAATTTTGTCGTTAGTGTCTGATTTCGGGTGCGGTTCACTTGATGCTACAAATGCTTCGAAACTTTTACTTGACCAATTGGAAGAAAGAATTTTATCTGACCAATCAAAAAATGCTTCAAAATATTCGTAGCATCAAGTGGACCGTAGCTAGGCATAGCCTTCATTTCAAAAATTGATGTCCAATCTTAGCGTCAATTTTGATTTTATCATGAGTGATTTATATGTGCTCATGGAATTTTTTACATCATCGTCATCAAGTGACGATAATGAATTAATATTAAAACATAAAAAAAAGGCAGAGCGAAAATAAAAAATTACATTGAAGTCATGCGAAAAATGTCCGATAAAACAGTGAGTTTTGCAGGTTAAATTAAAACTAGTAATATGATTTATTACACAGAAAATGTTTATTTATAGTTGGAGAGTCATTTTCGAATGTCGCAGGCGACGTGCTATGAAATTACAAAAAAATTGAAAGGTCAACATTCTATCCGAGTAACAGATCTTATGGTGGAACACCAATTTCGTCAGTAGAAAAACATGTGTTAATATTTTTATAGTTAGTATAATAATAGTAACTTAGTTAAGCCCTGCACACAATGTAAGAAATATTAGGAATTGGAATAAATATTAAGATTTCAACCTATGAGAAACCGTATATTCTGATAATTGATATCTGGTAGGTTAAAATTTTAATATTCCTGTTCCTAATATTTGTTCTATTGTGTCCAGACCTTTAATACAATAATAATAGTAAGATAAAAGAAAATGAATTGAAAACATACATGTATGTACATTGATTTAATTTCCTTCAAATTTTTTTTAATTTTCAAAATTTGCAGGAAACAAATGCTCGCTTCGACAAGTAGGAGATCGATTTAACTTAAGCATTTTAACTTGTGAGAGTGTGCTATAAGAGTGATGGATTTTATGAACAATATTTCAAAAGAAGTAATTACATTCCCGCATACTTCGGAAGAGAAACATTGTTGCCGAAAATGTTAAAAAGATTAATATTCCATTATTAATTTTCTATTGTGTAAACAGTTGTATTACTTTTTTATGTCCTTTTTCTTTCAATTATTAAGGCTAGAGTTCTTTTTTCTCTTGTCTTAGGTGGACAATAAATATATATGGGTAATTATCATAATTTGCTTTCACAAGAAGAACAGATATTGAGTAATTCCTTGTAGTTCTTCAGCTAAATTCTCAGGATAAAATTTTGCTAAGAATATGAATGATGTCATTGATTGATGCCTGGATTTTGCACTTTTTTTTAATTTTAACCAAGAAATAATCCTTTTCATTTTCGTATTATATGTATATTGAAGTCCAAAATATCATATTTCTTTCAGTCCCACGATATCACACGACATACCAGATCAAACAAGTCTCTACTTGTCGAGCTTTAAATTAAATTTGAATTGTGCATCTGAGATCTAGATTGACGGAAAAGGATCTGAGGGACATTTTCCTTCGGAATGGTGACATCTTATTTTTCGCTGTGTTCGCGTTATGTACATCATAAAAACATGTCGATTGCCATGTTATGAAAACACTCAATTATATCACAAATTAGACTTCTAATTAAACACCACTAAAATATTTAATACAGCATATTTTCAACATATGTACGAAAGTATTAATCAACGACCACAGCGGTTTGTTTCAAGTTTCAAACGTCTGATATCTTTTCGCGTGCTATTCGCATAGTCATATCTCGTTCAATTCGCAAATTCTATATGACATTATGTTGTGTATTTGATATTTTCATGTCGATACGTGCATATACCTATCGTGACGCAAGCTGCATTACAGAATTGTTTAGATTTTTTGTCATTTCCTACAATTGATCTTTGTTCGAGCATTTTTTACGATCGCACTTTGCTCGTAACGATATTGTTTTTAAACTAATATTGTGTTAATAATAATACAAAAAAGTAAATATCTTGAATGAAGGAAACTGTGGTCTTAATGACGCAATATCATTAAAATATCAATATTTAAAAAAAATGTTATACATTTAAAAGACAAATACTTATTTGTTTAAGATTGCTAGTTTTGAAGGTGTAATTGGATGTATAAATGGTTCATATATCAACATTCGTATTCCTGCTAACAAATTATGAACAACTTATGCAAACAGACATAATACCATAAGCATAATTTTGCAAGCAGTACGCAATGATAGAAAAAAATTTTTAGATATCTTCACAAGAGTTTCTAGTAAACTTTATGATAGTCGAACTTTGAAATTATCATTTTTAAAACAGGATATTTGCAAAAATGGAAGATTCTATTTATTAGATGACAGCGTTTACCCTATAAAAAAATTTCTCATAACGCCTTACAAAGATTTCGGAAATCTAACACCATCACACGTACAATTCAACGAAAAATTATTAGCAACCAGAGTAAAAATTGAAAATGCATTTGGATGGTTAAAAATTAGATTTCGACAGCTAATGTTATTAGATTTCCACTGTATATAAAATGATTTTACTGTTTATAAAATGTGTAGTTGTATTATAGCATGTTGTGTGTTAC